GGGATGAGGGAACTGTCTGAGTGTTCCAGTCAGGCAGCTGGATTTTGGACCCAATCTATGAAATATTAGAAACATGGGTGTAGTCATATATGAAACCTCTAATTAAATCAACAAAAAATATATAGTTTGAGATGGATGCTGAAGTTATGGGCTTATGGTCTGAATATCAACCTTTCCGCCCTGCTAAGTAACCCCTTTGCTAAGGTTCAGTTGAGGTCCTCTGGGACCACCAGCAACAAAGGCTTGAGGTCTGCAACGTCATCTTTCCAATTCACCAGCAGTAAGTAGCATCCTGCTTTGGAACTCCTGCTGCTCCCCAGAGATCATCGAGCAAAATTGGAGAACAAGACGAGGAAACCTAATGTGCAATATTGTCAGATTTCTCTTTTCTCAGCAACCCAAAGGAGCAGATGGTTTGCAGTCTGAACCACGTTGCTTCTTCCAAACATTTGCACTCATTTTCAATATTAGAGCAGAGTTCTGTTTCACTCTGGCAAATGGTTTTTGCTCCACGGATGTTTCTGCTTAACTGTAATACAATGATATGGATAACTGCAGAGTGAAGTCATCAGATGGATGGAGAAATTCAGAATCCTACCTTGTATAACTTTCTCTCAACCTAACTGACTTTACAAAAGAGAAAGAAACAACCTTTAGAGAAGGTGGAGAGATGGCAAACCTAAGGAGAATCCCCAAAGACAATGCATTATGTAGGAGCCCCGGTGGCCTAGTGGTTAGAATGCAGCATTGCAGGCTAGCTCTGCCCACAGTCTGAAGTTCGATCCTGACGGGGGCTCAAGGTTGACTCAGCCTTCCATCCTTCAGAAAAACAAGGACCCAGATTGTTGGGAACAATATGCTAACTCTGCCTGGGGTTTTTTTTTTGTGGGGGGGAACACATGGGAAAAATAGTGCCGTTGATTGCACAATTGCGATGCCATCTTGACTTTTGGGCCACGGCCTGCAGACTCCTTGTTTCTATGTCTGAACTTTGAATTCTCAGTTAATTCTGAATTGAACTGAACATGCCCCGTTTTTGTTCTTTTGAAAAGAATCTGGATGAGCCACACTTGAAGGAATTTGGAGATGTTTGAGCAATGGAGTCCTGGTGCTCACTGTTATTTAGAGCATTTCACCTCTCGGGGTAGCAGAGACCACTGCCTCCTCCATCATCACATCCCACTGCTTCTTTTCTGTCTTCAGTATGCGTTACTCACTAAGCCTGTAGTAGCCTGTTCTGTATTTAACAATATTTAATGAACCTCATTGTTAGGGAATCACCACAGTTCAAAGAAGCAGGCACATTTAAATGCGTAGGCAGAGAAATGGAAGGAAATGGGAGGAACGTGTGTGCACTTGA